TTACTGACACCGCCAAAGCTTTCACGCCGACTGCCTATACGAAGCCGGGGATAACGCTGTTTACGGCCCAGTGTCACATTACACTTCCCAATAGCCCACGATGGCGTCCATGACAAAAATATGGTCTCTGGTAAGCTAAAAATTCTTGTCAACCGTAGTCAAGCTCTCGTGCGCAGCCAGTTCTAATAGCAGCCGCCCAGAAATCAGCGCAGCAAAAGGCGGAAAATGCCGACGGCGGGAAGAAAAAGAAGGTGACGCCGGCCCAACTACGGGTGCAAAAAGGTAGGTCGACGATGTTGCCCTCGAGGATCCTGAGACGACTCTGCTTTTTATCAAACTCTGACCGGCCCTAGATCTCTCCGAGTTATCCCTGGGCACGACGATGAAGACCATCTTCGACAACCCCGATGACATCCTGAATTTTACGCTCGAGATCCTGCCTGACGAGGGCATCTACCACAGCGGCCGGTTTACCTTCTCGTTTACGATGGGCCCCAACTATCCTCATGAGCCGCCTAAGGTGCAGTGCCAGCAGAAGATTTACCATCCCAACATCGATCTCGAGGGCAAGGTGTGCCTCAACATCCTCCGCGAAGACTGGAAGCCGGTTCTTAACCTGAACGCCGTTATCGTGGGCCTTCAGTTTCTGTTCCTCGAGCCCAACGCCTCCGATCCCCTCAACAAGGAGGCCGCCGAAGACCTTCGCCAGAGCCGAGAGGCCTTCCGACGCAACGTTCGCGTCTCCATGACAGGTGGCAGCGTCCGTGGTGTCACATACGATCGCGTGATCCCAAGCAGCAGAGCCTAGTACGGCCAGAACTATTGAGTTCCCTTTCCGCACGACACACACATACACACACCTGCACACACAGAGACATAGACATGGGTCCGAGTTCCCGAGGGGATGCTACGAAACTGAGGTAGAATGAGTATCCCAGGACTCCTTAGGTACGATCTATGAGGGTAAGAGGAGACGAGGAGGCGAAGACGAAGACGAGCGATGCAAATAGCACATAGCAAGGCGTTTTCAAGGGGGTCATGTCCATTGTAGGACTCATAGGGGGCTCCAGTGAATATTCGTATTCGTCTTCTCTTATTGTAGACTTGGGAGGGTGACAGACCGAATAACTACCTCGGGTATCTACCTACGGCGTAGTTCTGGTCTCGTCTTGAGCGGTATCGTACAGCGTATGCTATGACAAGCAGGCGAATTCGTTATACTAGCTAGATGCTAGTCCAAGAGAAATGCAATACTGTTTTCATGTCTCTGTGGGATTCGTCCAACCCCCCAGAACCCCTTGCTCCCTAATACGTGAAGTCGATATATTAAAGTCTTCGAAGAGTGTCACCGCTTGATGGCGACGTTAGTACCGATACGCCAATACCGTTCCGGTTCTACTAATCTACTACTTCCTAACCGCATAAATGCTAGATATTAGCAGGTACCAGTACCAGGCATTACCCCAGCGCAGCGCAGCGGTCTGGCAGGCCTGGCCGGTCCGGCCGTGGTCCCCACAGTGGCTTGCGTGCAGCAACCCGACCGCCGAAGTCGCAGCACAAGCTCGAAATTTCTGTTGTTAGCCAAAAAGGAAAGAAAAAAAAAGGAACAAAAAATAGAGGCGGGCCTGACGATTTTCATCTGACTAAATAATACACGTATTGATCTTTCCTCTTAACCTCCCTCTCCTTCCTATCTCCGCACTGTCTTTTACTTTCACGATGGCTTCCAGAGGATTTTCCAAGGCCGTACGCAGCCAATTGGCCCGCCGCGTCGCATCCCCCGCCGTCCCGAGACGTACCTTCGTCGCTGCGTCGAGCCTCGTCCGAGCTACGCCCAAGGCCCGACCTGCTCTGGCCGGCGCCGTGCAACAGCAGGTCCGTGGTGTCAAGACCATCGACTTTGCCGGAACGCCCGAGGAGGTCTTCGGTGAGCTTAATTGATTGGCATATGCGTGATCTCGAGCTTACACTATCTTGCATAGAGCGTGCCGACTGGCCTAAGGAAAAGCTCCTGGTGAGTCTTACATGCCCTATTTACCTTTACCAATATGTTCCATATAGACAAATCCTCAGAGACACGACAACTAACGTCTTCTCCAGGACTACTTCAAGAATGATACCCTTGCCCTCATCGGCTACGGCTCCCAGGGTCACGGTCAGGGTCTTAACCTCCGTGACAACGGCCTGAACGTCATTATCGGTGTCCGAAAGAACGGCCAATCGTGGAAGGATGCTCAGCAGGATGGCTGGGTTCCCGGAAAGAACCTGTTTGAGGTCGACGAGGCTATCTCCAAGGGTACCGTCATCATGAACCTGCTCAGCGATGCCGCCCAGAGCGAGACGTGGCCCGCCATCAAGCCCCAGCTGACCAAGGGAAAGGTGCGCTAGTATATGAGTCATGCGATAGCAAGCAGCACAACTAACGGCCAAACAGACCCTTTACTTCTCCCACGGATTCTCCCCCGTCTTCAAGAACGTCACCAAGGTCGACGTTCCCAAGGACATTGATGTCATCCTCGTCGCCCCCAAGGGATCCGGCCGTACCGTCCGATCTCTCTTCCGTGAAGGCCGTGGTATCAACTCGTCGTACGCCGTCTACCAGGACGTCACCGGCAAGGCCGAGGAGAAGGCCCAGGCCCTCGGTGTTGCCGTCGGCAGCGGATACCTCTACAAGACCACGTTCGAGAAGGAGGTGTACTCGGACCTGTACGGCGAGCGCGGCTGCCTGATGGGCGGTATCCACGGCATGTTCTTGGCGCAGTACGAGGTTCTGCGAGAGCGCGGCCACAGCCCCAGCGAGGCCTTCAACGAGACGGTCGAGGAGGCCACGCAGAGCCTGTACCCGCTGATCGGCGCCAACGGCATGGACTGGATGTACGAGGCGTGCTCGACCACGGCCCGGCGAGGCGCCATCGACTGGACCCCCAAGTTCAAGGACGCCCTGAAGCCCGTCTTCAACAACCTGTACGACTCGGTGCGGGACGGCAGCGAGACGAAGCGGTCGCTCGAGTACAACGGCCAGAAGGACTACCGACAGAAGTTCGAGGCCGAGATGGACGAGATCCGCAACATGGAGATCTGGAAGGCCGGCAAGGCCGTGAGGTAAGAAGCACTTAACTAACACCCGACATCATGCTGTTACAATGATCAGTGATTGCTAACATGGTTTGCCTCTAGGTCTCTCCGACCCGAGAACCAAAAATAAGTGCATCTGGCCTGTAAAATAAATGAAAAATAAAAACCAATCGGGACGGTATACTAAAAAGGCGAAGGAATTATTCCCCGGGGGAGAACAAAAAAGGATGGAGCTCTTGTACTTGTGTATTCAGGATTCTCCCCAACCAGTCGGCTCTCGCGAGGATGTTAGGGGGGGGCTGTGGTCCAGAAGTCATCCTAAATGAAATGTCTGAAGCATCGTTGAACTGGTTGGAGACTTGCTTGACTATATGTGACTTTTACCTCTCCGTTATCGGTCCCTGATAACAACCTTAATCGTAGACTTTTAAATGGTTCCATCTGCCAGGCAAGCCAAGTAGTTTCGAGACTAGAATCGATCACGTACTTCTGGGTAGACTTTGCCCTCACATATATCCTCGGGAGGTGTATAGAGGTGCATTTGGGGTTTGGCCAATCATACTTCGTTTCCGTCTATAACCATTATTTTAACCTTGAACCTGCTCTCGTACTTCTCGTTCACCTTCCACGACAGGTATCATCTGCGCCCATCCACGGCCAGAAAGTGATCCTGACTCCTAACTCGTCTTTCCTTCCGTACCCCCGCCCGACAAGGCATCAGCCAACCAAAACCCCGGAATGGCAGACCCGTCGACGTCGCCGCCGCTGACGCGGGCCTCGGTGGCGGAGGCGCGCGAGCGGATCCGGGCACTGGTGCACCGGACGCCGGTGGTGACGAGCTCGTCGCTATCGGCCATGGCCAGCGGAAGCGGGAGCGGGCCGAAGCCGAAGCTCCGGCTCTGGTTCAAGTGCGAGAACATGCAGCGCGTCGGCGCGTTCAAGGCCCGCGGCGCCTTCCACGCCCTCGAGCGCCTCAAGAAGGAGCCCGGGTGGCTCGCCGGCGGCGGCGCGGAGAGGGGCGTTGTTACGCATAGCTCTGGTTGGTGATGTTTTTGTTTTTACCTTCTCTTTTTTTTTATTGGGGTTGTGGTGCGGTAGAGGCGGGTCTGCGATGTGGCTTCCCCCTTTCGCTTGGAGACTTGGGAGATGAAGACGGAATACGTGTCATATACTCTTGTTCCAAGGGCTGGTTATCATGAGGCAGTGAGAGGGAGAAAACGAAAAGAGACGGCTCGCTGACAGCATCGACGGGGATCGAAAAGGCAACCACGCGCAGGCGCTCTCGCTCGCGGCGCGCGCCAACGGGATCCCGGCGTATATCGTGATGCCGACGATCTCGGCGGCGCCCAAGATCGCGGCGACGCGGGGGTACGGGGCGACGGTGGTGTTCAGCGGCAGCACGAGCGTCGAGCGCGAGGCCGTCACGGCCAAGGTCGTCCAGGAGACGGGCGCCCGCCTCGTGCCCCCCTACGACCACCCCGACATCGTGCTCGGCCAGGGCACCCTCGGCCTCGAGCTCCAGGAGCAGGTCGAGCAGGCCATGGCGGCCGAGGAGGAGCAGATGCAGGCTGCTGGGGACGCGACGCAGCAGGACAGGACGAAGAGGAAGAAGAAAAGGGGGCTCGATGCTATTATTGCGCCTTGTGGAGGAGGCGGCAGTGAGTGACTGTGTCTCCTATCTGTCTGATGTGCTGTTTACATATATCCTCCCTCTCCTCTTATTTCCTTTATATCGTGCCTTGAGAATACGTGCTCAAGTTGTGCCGATTCCGCCTGTTTAGGCTTGGATCTCAAAGCATGGCCGGAGAGAAGGAAGCCTCGTTTCTCTTTTCCCCCTTTTCTCTTCAAGCTGTGCGTATAGCGTATAAGGCAGCACAACATTCAACGTTTACACAGTGAGGACCAACCCTCAATGAAAGCACAAGTGCCCATTGGCCCAGTGGTCAAGGCGTCTGACTGTTAAAACGCGACCCACCGCGGACGCAGACAAGCAATCAGAAGATCCCTGGTTCGATCCCAGGATGGGCAGTTTCTTTTTACTCCCCCCCTGTCTCTGTTTGCTATTGCCTTTAGCCTTGAATATTTCAACTACCTTCACTCTATAACTCACGAGCTCCCCTCTCCCCGTCTTCGTCTCTCAACCATGACACACACAATTCATTGAAAAAAAAAAAAAAAAAAAAAAAAAAAAAAAGGCCCTCTACTAACCAACCACTCCTCCCGCGCCACAGTGCTCTCCGGCGTCGCCCTCTCGTGCGAGGACACCGGGATCCGGGTCTTCGGCGCGGAGCCGTCGGCGGGCGGCGCGGACGACGGCAAGCGGGGGTACGAGTCAGGCACGCGCGTAGAGGCGGTGTCGTCGCTGACGGTAGCCGACGGGCTGCGCACGCCGGTGGGCCGCGTGCCGTGGAGCGTCATCTACGAGCGGCGGCTCGTCGGCGGCTTCTACAGCGCGCCCGACGACGCGGTCCTGCGCGCCATGCGCCTCGCCTACGAGCGCCTCAAGCTCGTCGTCGAGCCCAGCGCCGCCGTGCCCCTCGCCGTCGTCCTCTACGATCCCGAGTTCCGCGCCATGGTCGAGAGGGAGGCCGGTGATGAGGGCTGGGATCTGGGGATCGTGCTTAGTGGGGGCAACGTGAATCTGGACGCGCTGGGGGGGCTGTTTGCTGCTGTTGCTGATGAGGGCGGCGATGGGGCGTCGAAGTAGGCGTGCGCATGGATGTATAAATACGATTGGCTGGTCTGATCTGGCCATAGGACTAACAGCAGGAATTTCATGTAAACTCAACAAGCACATGATATTTACCGAGGTATAACATATAGGTACCTCCTATGCAGATGCATGATTCAAGGCTAGATGACGACCGCTATGCTCCTACACGTATGACGCTCTTCTATATGCCAACTTGAGCACATTCAATAGCTGCATCCGAGGCAGTAATATCCAATCACCTTTTCTACGTCTTTTTACTGTGCCATATCCCAAAAATTACCCAGACAAGCCCGTCACTGATTAAGAGCCTTATCCATCTGCTCCCTCCAGCGGCGGCTGTTTCTCCGGAGGAGCCAGATGGCGAGGTTACCGGAGACCCAGGCGATGAGGCCGACGGCGGAGAGGAGCCAGCCGACGCCGATGGCGTCGATGAGGGGCTGGCTGACGACGCCGGCGGTGCAGCTGAAGATGTTGCGGACGAAGTTGTTGAGGGCAACGCCGCTGCTGCTGCGGCGGGGCATGAACTCGGTGAGCATGGTGGTGGCGGCGCTGAAGACGAGCATGCTGCCGAGCCCGAAGAAGAAGTTGGCGACGGCGGGCGCGGCCCAGTGAACGCCGTAGTATGTCGTCCACCCGCTCCACACGAGCGCGCCCGGGTACAGCGTCGCCGAGATCCACGCGTTCTCCCGCATCCGGTCCTCGGGCAGGTACACGAGCCGCCCGCGCGCGTCGCGCCGCCCCGCCCGCTCCGCCGCCCGCACCATGATCCGGTCGATCCACCGCCCGCCCAGCATCGACGCCGCGAAGTACCCCAGCGACCCCGGCAGGTACAGCAGCCCGATCGCGATCGCCGAGAAGCCGTACGGCGCCTGCGAGAAGGCCGACTGGATCACGATGTTGAGCACGTACAGCGACCCGAACGTGACGGCCGCGTAGTACACCGTGATGGCCACCGCCGGGAACCGCAGGTACATGATGATCTGCAGCGGGTCGACCAGGCAGCGTTTTATCGACACGGCGGCCTGCTTGACGGAGCGCGTGGTGGAGACCCGTGATAGGCCCTCGGTGGACGGTTGTGTGGCGGCGGGTGCCGGCTTGCGCTTGGCTAGAGTCTCTGGTACGAAGAATAAGACGAGCACGAAGACGAGAGCGCCGTACGCCGTTAGGAACCACATCGTACTCCTCCACCCGAAGCCCTCTGCTAGGGCGCCGCCGATGATTGGGGCCAGCAATGGTCCCATGAGCGGCCCGAGATAAAAGTAGCCCATCGCTCGGCCGCGCTCCCGGGTCTCCCATATGTCGGCGATGGTTCCGGCGCCGACGGCCTGGACCGACGCGGCAGCCCCGCCGGACAGGATCCGGAAGACGATCAGCATGCTGATGTTGACACTCAGACCGCTTAGCAGACTGAAGATGACGTTCAGCAGAAACGACGAGAGATAGATATTACGACGGCCCAGGGCTTCCGAGAATGAAGACCACCAGAGCGGGAATATCGACATGGCCAACATGTACAGGGCTACTGTCAAATTCACTACCGTCGGCGACGCATTGAGGTCCTCGGACATGTCCGGAAGGGCGGCTAATGAGTTCCATGTGAGTCTTATGGTGCACTGCGACGATAGGGGCCGGTATTATAGTGTATAAAGAAGAATGCGGATATCTGCTTACGATAAAATATGGCGGAGCCCATCGGAGCCGCGCATGCTGCCATGGCTACAAACACCGTAATAGTCCACTTGACCTTATTCGGGTAGTCATAGGGCCTGTCGACCTCCGGGACAAGCGTCAACTGCGCTAAGAGACCTCGCCTCTTCTTCCTTGGCACTATAGTAAGTGGCCGGGACCGAGTAGATGACGCTTGCGATCTGACCCGCGCCGCCGACGTACCAACGGCAGCCTCCTCGTCGGCCGGGATGCCGTCCGTGGTCAGGATCTGCTCAGGGATAGGATCTACGGATCTGTCTTCCCCCTCACGCTTCGACGTCGTGGTGGACGCCTCATCATCTGGCACGTCTCCATGTACGTTCACATCTTCTGACTCTCCGTTTGTCTTTTCCGGGTCAGCAGCCATACCCGAAGATTTACGGGGCGTCTTCAGAGCAGCGAGCCTTGGCGGCGAGCCCACTCGAAAAGAAGACTTGATAACCGATATCGGTGGATTATAGATGTGGTCACGCAAGTTTCCACAAAGGCTCGACAGGTAGATGACCTTGTAATTGTGCCTCGACCAAGGATTGTAGAGCTACTATGTATAAGAGATGCCAAGACAGAGGCAATCCTTTGTCAAGAGAAAGCGGTGGCTGGTGAAAAGAATAATAGCCAGGATAGAACTTACATGGTAGGCAAGATTTAAGGTCGAGGGTAGCCGCTCGGGCTTAGTTGATATTAGATATAAGAGAGAAACGAGCTGGTTTTCTCCGAGATAGACTCTGAATGGGCGACAGGCTAGAACTTAACTGGTGCTCCTGTGGAGAATCGAAGTGCCCAAGTCGTATGCTATAGCAGCAAGGAACGGGAATTACACCCGAAAGCAAATACCGAGAAGTCCGAGATGGCTAACGATCCCATTCGGCTAGCCCTTCTGACCTAACCCTGAGCGGGCAGGTTTAGTTGCTGCGAACCCTCGCCGTGATAGCCCAGCGTTGCAGTGTCACGGCGGATTCTGGGACACGGACACCGCCAATTGCAGATGCATGGTGGTATCTTGCGCTGCGACCTTGCATCCATTGTCGTGGGATATAGGAGGGATGCCTAGATAGGTAGGTACTTGTTATCGCATTATCACGCCTTACCGTGTCGCTTCCTGTGGCCGTTCCGTACCAAGTTCACATATAACTTGCGCACTGTAGCCTCGTTGGTGTCAGACTCGGTCCGGCGATGCTCGGACGAAGATTGTGTGCCTGTTGCGTACTTCGTAAACCGCTTGAAAACCGAGACCAAGTAATTGATAATTGCTGGCTGGTGAGTCACCAAATGAGAATGGCAGAAGCGCCTTGTTTGAGAAGATGCTGTCGAAGTAGTCTCTGCCTCACGGACGTCCGAAGCGAATAGCGCTCACATGTCGACATGCCGCTTGATCTCTACTCTCTCTCTCTCTCTCTCTCTCTTCTTCTTCTTGTCGCTCAATCATACCTTGTTGAACGCAGGCAACGATATTGGTCACGCTGTCTTCTCGGTGGAGAAACGATGTGAGTATCGTTATAACGTGATAAATGGAGGAATTATTCAACACTGCATCGCTTGGTGTTGACCTCTCTGACCATCAAAGTAAAATAAACCACCCTAAGATCAGACTTTTAGCGGCCGGGACCCATATAAGCCCGCTGTGGCCTAGGGCTTGCAGGTACCCCTAGCGGGTAGCTAGCAGGCCCAGACAGCTGGAACTCTGCTGTAGCATCGAGGTATTACAGGTGCCGTTAGTCTACTCTGAGACCTTTTTTTCACGACGTCCGATATAGGCAGGTTGAAGCCAAGCCAAGCCGAAGCTATATTCACTTCCTTTTTCCTTTCATTGCGCCTCAACGCTGCATTGTACCAAGCCAATGTCGCTCACCAACGCGTCCCCGTTGGACGCTGCGAGGGCCGCCAAGGAGGCGTCTCACGTCCTCGCGACGCTGCCCGAGGCGGCCCGGAACGAGGCGCTGACGGCCATCCACGCCGGCCTGGTGGCCGCTAAGGATGACATCCTGGCCGCAAACGCGCGCGACCTCGACGCCGCCCGCCTCGCCGCCGAGCAGGGCCGCCTGAGCCAGAGCCTCGTCTCCCGCCTCGATCTCGGCAAGAAGGGCAAGTGGGAGGACATGCTCAAGGGCATACTAGACGTCCGAGACCTCGAGGATCCCGGTGAGTCATCCGTCTTTTCTCTTCGAGGGGGAGGGACTCAGGGGACGGGAAGGGAAATCCGATCCCACGTTGTCAACTCCGTGCATGAGAGACTAACACCGTGCTCGTGCTACGCACAGTCGGCAAGGTGACGCTGCGGACCAAGCTGGACGACGGCCTGGAGCTGACCCGGGTCACGTGTCCGATCGGGGTGCTCCTCATCATCTTCGAGGCGCGGCCGGAGGTGATCGCCAACATCGCGTCGCTGGCGGTGAAGTCGGGCAACGCGGCGATCCTGAAGGGGGGCAAGGAGTCGACCGAGTCGTTCGTGGCCATCTCGCGGGCCATCTCGTCGGCGCTGGACCGCACATCCGTCCCCAACGGCGCGGTCCAGCTCGTCACCACCCGCGACGTGATCCCGCAGCTGCTGGCGCTCGACCGGCACATCGACCTCGTGGTCCCGCGCGGCTCCAACGAGCTCGTGCGCTACG